ATGTAGGGATTTCTGTACTGTCGTAAAGAATTCAAAATATGGAATTTGAATTTCACATGCTCTGTGCCCGAATCACCCTCGAACACGATCTGACATCATCATGTTCCTTTTGATTTCCTAGAGTTCCTTTCAGTGATCATCCTGCATATTCACCAGTGTTGTGACTGGGTGGAGTGTGCTAGCAAATCCACCAGGAGCAGTAGCCTAGCTCAAACGATTCGGGAGTTCTGACAGCAAAAGCCAACTTCCTCTAGTCCGACACTTCTGAGATGTTGGTGAAGCACGAAAGGAACCTTGCGCTGGGAACCGCCGCCCAGTAATACTAGGGTCAGTGAAGAAGGCAAACGTCGACAGCACAATGGCGACGCGTTCAATTTGAAAGCAAAGCAAGACAAAGTCTGCTTTTTTTCTGAGGTCGTTCGACCCACCTTGGGAGAATATTCATAAAAAATTGGCGACTCTCAGGCTAGCAGTTCTTTCAGCTTCCTTGTGTAGCACTATCCTCGTACCAGCTAAGGACAACCTTGTCTGAGCTCTAGCACTCCTTCTTCAAAAAGAAATTTTACGCTAAGTGATACGACCTCAAACCCGACTTCCAGTCCTTCTTCGTTCAAGATCTCCTGCAGTTTCAGAGGAAAGACAGCGAATAAATTCCCATGTATAGGCAATACATTGTAGATGACAGAGGTGTATGTTTGGATGAGCAAGGACTCCACATAAAAAGAAAAAAATTGAATTCAAAAATACCCAAAGTGATTCACTAATTATGGGACAACCTAATATATTCCAAAACAACCAATGCTCGTTGCGAGACTTGTGCAAAGGAGTGGTCAGCTGTGATGGGTGGTTTACCTAGTTGGGAAGCTCTTCGCACAAGCTACAACCCTTTGAGGTTTGGAGCTAGCTTCATTCACTTCAATTAATTTTCAATGGTGTTTAGGTGTGCTAGCCGTAAATATTCTTTGCTCAAGAGACAACTTAGCAAATGAGGAGCACGTCCTTTCCGTATTCAGAGAACACTTTGCAACGTGTTTTCTTCTGCGATACAGCGCAGCACAACGGGTGAGCAGAGCTTCAGATAGATAGGTGCGATAGTCCCAATGTGTGTGATTTAGTTGCCGTTGCGTACCCATTATATATTGACCTGGTTGGCTCCGCTCCCTACCGCGCGGCACAGGAAGTTTTTTTCAATAAGACTGAGCACAACCGAGCTCTTGTATCGGGCGGCATGCATGCCTTTAATGGATCAGACTGATGTCATTAACGAAAGTGCTAGTTGTTGTAGTGCTGGTTAAAACAGTCAGTTCCTGCAGCTCTTCAATAATCTCAAAAATCCATCATTTTGCGGGGAGCAATGTGGTCGAGCGGCCGAATAAGCTTTTGGTAACTATTACAAATGCTCGAGCTTCATGATAGTTGTTTATGGTAAAAGGACTTGAAGGAATCTTCATGGAAAAATATGATTCTATTTCAGCCATAAATCACTGGCTTGAGACTCATTATCCACGATAAGAATGAAAAGAACAGAAATATTGCTTTTGTTTTGGTAAAAATTCGAAAAATCGAAAGGGCTGCTACGCGTTCAAAGTTCCTCTTTCACAAATGCTGGCGACGGGGATGCTTCCACTTGGTTCTTGGAGTGCCTTCACTAGAAACTCTTTCTGGCCTTCTGCTTTTGCATTCACATCTTACACTTCTACTCCATCCTATTCTATCGATCGATTTGTCTCTACTCTCCGAAACAGGGTCAAGCGTGCGTTGAGGAATCCTCGACATGTCACGGAGGGGGGGGGGTCGTATTGGCCCGCTGGGGGAAGAGATCGGGCCATTTGATGCAGTAGGGATCATCGTCGGAGGAC